CTGGTGATGATGATAATAATGATAATGATGATGATGTGATGACGATGATAATTATGATGATGACAATGATGGTGATGATGGGGATGATGGTGATGATGATGATGATGAGATTCGCTAACAAACACTACTACAGATGAAGCCATGTATACACCTTGTTCATACCAAACTAGAAAACTAGTCAGCTTTTAAAACTCATTTTATCGATTGGACTACACAACTAGTTGCAGGATACATTCTTTGATAGCAGTCGTCAAGTTGTAGAACTTCCTGCTCGACAAGTTACAAGCAACATTATACTTATACTGTAAACCAGATAAGCGTGAATGGGAGCAAACAGAAGTCGCTACGTTATCACCCAAATTAGCAACCAGCCCAGCGGTAAGTTGTTTTGTTAACAATACCATGATATTAAAACTTTATCATCCTGTATTCAAGATCGCTCAATTGCGACTTCGAGTCTGGTATTTTTATATCTTCTCCTTTTTATATCTTCTCCTGTAAAGTGCGGCGAAGAGTTATTGTTGTTTGTGCACTTCTTGACTTAAGACTGATTCCAGAACGTGTGTGTTTTGCGTGCACATCCGTTTTTCAGATATGGCTTATTTGTATGAAGACTGTCGGTTCCTCGCCTCCCACTTCGAAGAAAATACTTCTAATTAGTCGACGTTTACGACATGCTTGTTGGCTTGTTGTGGTGGCAGAATGTATGTAATCCCCCCCCCCCACCTCCCCCACCCCCCATAATGGTGCCCTGGAACATACACGGAAAGTAATTCTAGAAGTAATATTAGCTTACACAAGGTCAAGTCGAGATGATTTAATTTATGACATAGGATATTATTCTATATGGTTAATTCTCTCTCCGCATCGGGCTAACCGCCTGACGGGAGCGTCGCACAAAGCACGATTTCCGTAGCTGCAGCAAAAATTTAAGCTGTCTGTTTGCTTTTTTTTTCAGTGACTGTTTTTATTTGTAGTGCCTAGTTAAAACAGTCAGCAAATGTTGAGGACAATTTGCCTAGTTAAAACAGTCAGCAAATGCCGGGGACAATGTGCCTAGTTAAAAGTCAGCGAATGCTGGGGTCAATGTGCCTAGTTAAAAATGTCAGCAAATGCTGGGGACAATGTGCCTAGTTAAAACAGTCAGCAAATGTTGAGGACAATGTGCCTAGTTAAAACAGTCAGCAAATATTGGTTACAAAGTGCCTAGTTAAAACAATCAGCAAATGTTCAGGACAATGTGCCTAGTTAAAACAGTCAGCAAATGCCGGGGACAAAGTGCCTAGTTAAAACAATCAGCAAATTCTGGGGACAATGTGCCTAGTTAAAACAGTCAGCAAATGTGGGGGACAAGTGCCTAGTTAAAACAGTCAGCAAATGCTGGGGACAATGTGTCTAGTTTAAAGTCAGCAAATGCTGGGGACAATGTGCCTAGTTAAAACAGTCAGCAATTGCTCAGGACAATGTGCCTAGTTAAAACAGTCAACAAATGTTGGGGACAATGTGCCTAGTTAAAACAGTCAGCACATGTTGGGGACAATGTGCCTAGTTAAAATATTCAGCAAATGCTGGGAACAATGTACCTAGTTAGAACAGTCAGCAAATGCTGGGGACAATGTGCCTAGTTAAAACAGTCAGCAAATGCTGGGAACAATGTGCCTAGTTAAAACAGTCAGCAAATGCTGGGGACAATGTGCCTAGTTAAAACAGTCAACCAGTGCTGGGAAAATGTGTCTGTAGTTTGTTCAACAATAGATAAACACTTGCAAGCCATTTTCTCGACAACTGCCTGTTAGATCGCAATGATTTTTTGCATGCAACCTTAGAATATCCATGACGCCAAATAATGATATTCTCTAGTCCATAGATACTCGAAATGCTAAATATCAACCAATTTCTTTGATCTTTTGGAACCATGGGAAATAAGTAGAGTGAACTTTTCGTTTTTACGGTAAAAATCTGAATTTCCGGTTCTATTTTTTGTTCAGAGGCGTGTCTTCATAATACATTGATAGGTGAAGTAAATTTATTTGTTGTCATTTATGTTCAATTGAGCCGAGTCAAGAAAGACATCACAGCAATAAGGGCATTCCCATAAGCGTTCCGTCCCCATTTTCAGTGGCCAGCGCCGATTTCCTTTACTAATGATAGGCGGCATTATCCATTACTGGGCACGATGGTCTGTCCAGAATTGGACGAAGATCGTTCTCCATCCAGTGCCTGAAAATGTGTCAATTCATTTAACTGTGCCAATCGTTAATCGTGTTCGTTTTTCTAGGTCATGAATATCACAATATTAATGACCCCTCTTAGATTCCCTTAGGAAGTGCTGGTGCAGTCAAACGGTAACCGTCTGCATGGTTATAAATGTGCATCTTGAATTCATTTTGAAGTTGATGTCTATGTCAGCTTTTAAAAGCTAGTTATATGACACAATAACTCAACACTAATTTGTGGATACGCCCTTGACTAAACAGCCTTGACCGACATCTTATTTCGGCTTACGGTCACTAAAAGTGCGTTTCTGTATCTGAAGGTTGGACAGAGCAACACATTTGACTCCTATATTTTGTTGTACATTAAGTCCCTAGGGGTGTAGTAGACCTATAATTGTGTTGTCTTTACTGTCAGAGCTAGGCATCGGCCATGATCTTCTGCAACTGAAAGAGTTCAAATTAATGTAAATTAATTTAAATTCGTTCCAGCCATCCGAAGACAAATGATGCTTTTCATGTCATTTTCCACTGGAAAAGGGGGAGGTCACTTTTACCATAATGTTGCAGTCCATCATCAGCAAGTGCCTTCTCGACTGGGTTAGCTCTCTGTCGGCAATGTTAATGTGATCTAATACATTTGAAAATTATCGAGATTTGGTCGGATAAGGGTGAGAGTTCTCGTCTCTTTAGCTCGCATCATGGATTTCACTTCGGATTCAGGGGCAAAACTAACTGGTGAGCCTGATTTCATGTCCTGAAAAACTCATATCTAGGTATACTCGTATACAGAGGTTGCACTGTAAATTTGTATTACAAAAAAAAATGAAGCCAACCTCTCCGCCCCCTCTCCAACCCCCCACCCCCCTCCCCACCTTTTTTTAATGATATCATGTGCCTCTTAAATTTGTTTTGCGGGCCATCTTTGATCCACGGACCATCAGTTGAAAACCACTGTTATTGAAGATTGATACTGGAGACGGAAATATTGATAGCGGCCATGATAAAAGAATGACGAAACAATAGTGATAGTTAAAGTGCTGTGCTGGCGCAGATAGTGATAGTTAAAGTGCTGTGCTCACGCAGATAGTGATAGTTAAAGTGCTGTGCTGGCGCAGATAGTGATAGTTAAAGTGCTGTGCTCACGCAGATAGTGATAGTTAAAGTGCTGTGCTGACGCAGATAGTGATAGTAAATTACTGAAGTCATAATAATGATGATGATTATCTAGACCATCCTGATGATGATAAGAATATACATAAAATAAAGTAAGTAAAGATCCCCTACACACTCTTAGGCGTATCGGGTATATGGGAAAGAGCGCCAATATTTTTACAGACCATTGGCACTGAAAAGATATTGATAAGAAGGACTCTAATTCTAAAATATGATTGAGCTGAATCTGTGTGTGTGTTGTTGTTTTGTTTTTCTCCAGATGTGGGCAAGTACTACGCTCAAAACAATGAGAATGAAAGAAAAGAAGGTAAGACAAATGTTAAAGACAAGAAAGAAGGACAGAACGAACGAACAAACCTAAAGAACTTAATTTTGAAAGGGTTAGGAATGGGGCACTCAGTCCTTTTGACATTATGCCCTTCTTCTAATCTCCCACGTATCATTTCATTCGTATATCTATATAGAGGAGCATGCGCGCTGGCAGACAGGCATGCAGGAAGGCAAGCTGATAGACAGAACGGCTGACACACAAATAGACATAGTGGCGCGAGAGTAAAGAGCTGCGCATACACACACTGCTGTCATATAACTGAGATAACATTGAAAACTGCGATAACTTAGACAGCATGAAAAACTTGCATCTATGTCGAAATTTTAACAGCTTGCAACTTTCCTATAGCAACCCACGGATGGGAGCCTTGTACTCCGTCGCAATCACTAATTCAGGGCTTTTGCTTCTTCTGAAAATCTGCTTCTTCTTCTTCTTCTTCTGTTTCTTCTTCTTCTTCTTCTTCTTCTTCTTGTCGGGGGGAGATGTAACATTCGTTGGTGTGCTCTGTCTAAAGCACTGTTAAGATTGATGTTCATTCTGTAAGGCTGTTATTAATGCCATCACTCCATATTTTCCGAGGTCTTCCACTCGCTCTATACCCGTTGTAACATTTTAGTGTGGCTTGTTGTGGTAGACAGTACAAGGGCATTCTTGTTAGGTGTCTAAACCACTTCATTTGTTGTTCTTTGATGACTTGTAAGACTGGCTTTATTCCTAGCATTCTCCGCTACTGTTTTGTCCAGTCCATTGATGCCTTTGATAACGAACAAAATATTTCAGTTTTCCCTGTTGTGTAGCGACTAGACGCTCGTCTAAGAGCCCAAAGATTTAGATTCCAATAAGCATCAAGAGGTAGAAAAGGGGTCTTTTACTTGTAATAAACAATGTTATTGCTGGGGTAGTGAAATATTGTTCTGAACATTCTGCTAGTTTCTGAGTATATCTCACAAACAAATAGACGGCACTCATAGAAACAAGCAGAAAAATAGAAAAGCCGCTCTAGACAACATAAAAATCGAAAGATATAGTAACTATGCCAGAAATCGAACCTGCCACCACCAAATGACGAATGCGTCTCGCAGCAGGAATAAGTTTACTAAAACCCGTGAGCAACTAAACAACCCTACGATCATTTCTCAGTATTTAAATGATGATGTATTCAACATAAATGGCTGTTACTAATATTACATTATTATACTGAAATTTGAATTATCTTCAACTGTATTACATTTCCTATTACTAAGGAGGTGAACATGCACGGTTTGCTCGTTTTGTTACAGATGCTAGTGCGGCAGCAAATGATGGAGACAACATAGAAGACCGCTTGACCAGAGCAAATCGGGAACGTTCGGAACAAGGTAGTTGCTATAGTTACATTTGTGTCTTGCTCCTGTTATATCATCACCTCGTCATCCTCGTCTACCATCTCATACTTTTCATCTAATCATCATCATCATCATATGCCCTACCAACCGGCGTAGGATCTCATGCGTCTCCACAAATCACGATCCCTGGTTGACTGGAACAGCTCTCTGGAACAGTTTATACTAGAGACAACAGTGCAGATATAGATAATCTATTTTAGGCAAATTAAAGAAGAGGAAGAAGAAACTGACTCAAAATGTTTATAGCACTAGAAGGAACTCATCTAGAAGAAGAATATTTGATACAATTCCATGCAAAAATCCGAGACGAGGAAACAAGGTTGAGCAGGACCAATAAGAATAATGAGTGCAGGATAAGAATGATAGAAAACAGAAAGAAGAGTTTTATCATGACTCGTTTGAGCCTGGCATTTACAAACTGAAAGAAGAGTTTTATCATGACTCGTTTGAGCCTGGCATTCACAAACTGAAAGAAGAGTTCTATCATGACTCGTTTGAGCCTGGCATTCACAAACTGAAAGAAGAGTTTTATCATGATTCGTTTGAGCCTGGCATTCACAAACTGAAAGAAAAAAAAGCCTGTATTCGGATGCGAAAAACATGTGCAGTAATCCCTGATACCATGATCAACTAACTGTATGAAGCTATTAAAGATGAGAGGATCGACAGGTCTCGGTCTCTCTCCGCAAAACGGATGACCGCTTGCATATAGCGTCACCCAAAGCACGAACCTCTTTGCTCTAGTGACCATCACCTGAGATCTCCGTTAAAAAAAATTGCACTCGTTAACCAAAACGAGGCTGCCATAAAACGAACCACTAAACTTCAGAGCACGAGGAAAACGGCTTGACCCCTTCACCGGAGAGACCCCCTGAAAATAACGATTATATACATATACCCGTCAGTTAGGGATTCTAGCCCGCTGTCAGAGGTGGATCGGGGGGTTCGTCCTTTTGAGAAATGCTGTCTGTGTGATTAACACTACACGGATGAGAATTAGACAGGTAGTAATCCCGAAAGCTCCGTTTAACCGTATAACAGTTTATATTGGGCTCCCGACTCGTGCAAGTAACGGTTTGAGCCGGCTAAGGACTATCCTAGTTGGTGAAATACATCGAGCAATTAGCTGGTACCCTAGGGGAGGCTACCTGGGATTTACCGCCCAGAGATTAGAGAAAACAGAAAGTCAATCTGGATGGCAGATCATGGTTGGTTAGTTGCGTATCCTTCACAGGACGTTGTGTGTGGCAAATTTACGTCCAGTAGTTTGCCATTGCTTCTGGACGGTCGGCTTTCTTGATACCAATGGTGAAACCAACGCAAGACGCATGGCCAGCAGCTGGGATCGAACCGGCATCCCGGCATTACGAAGCGATCGCATCGACTTAGCCACAGAGCCGACGGGCAGATCATAGCTATCCCATTTAACCTCCAAAGACGTTCCAATTATAGTACCAGTAACGGTAACACCAGTCTGGTGTAACCTACAGTCCTGTGCCGATAAGAACGTAGTTGGTGGGTATTGATAGAAATAGAAGAAAAAGAAGACATCTACTCTTCCAGGGATGAAATATGTACAAGTACAGAAATTAGCTCAAATGTTCAAATGAAATATCTTTGCAGGTTCAGGGGAAGTCGAGTTGAGCTACGGAGGAGAAGAGGATTTGAAGCACCATTTCAAAGCTTGCCAGAAGAATCCAGGCCACTTGGAGTTTTTCAGTGTTGATCAATTTACCATCCATTGTCTCCCTTCCAGATATCAAGACGATGACTTGTTGGACTTTATCCGCGCTTTGTCGAATCTGACTGTTCGCGTAACGGTAACGAAAGTTAGTGATAAACGGCCTAAGACTTACCCTGGGACTGATGAGACATACCCTTGCTATTCTGACAGAGGGAATAGTTTACTGAGAACAGGCACTGGTTGGGTCTCTGGGGTGAGAAAGCGCACTGGTACGAAAGGTACATCAGGTTGTACATGCAGAGAATGCCGTTGGTCTGCTGAGGCTGAAAGAACGTTTGCATACATTGACATCAATACTACCAGTATAGTTGTCTTTGATGACATAGAGGGCGTTTACACCAGCTGTGATCTATTTTTTGATAAAGATACAACGCTGAGTGAATGTCAAGATGTCATCACGCTTAGCGGAATGTCAAGTGTGAAGAGTGACATTACCAGTAACACGTGTCTGATGACTTACGTCACTCATGACATGGCTTTGGCTGAGAGACTACTCAACATGTGCCAACAAAACCAGACTGCTCATAAGGTACTTATGGACAAATACAGCAATGACAGAGACAGCAGAATTTCCAGTTCTTTTCGTCCTGGTTTCCTGCCCGAACCAGAGCATTCACTGACAGTTATAGTGTCTCATCCTCATGGGCGTAGCAAACAGATCAGCGTGGGTGGGTACACCAAGCGTGAGACCATTAAGACAATCTGGAGCCAGTACACGTATTCTACGGCCACTTGCCCGGGCTCCAGTGGAGCACTTGTCTACGTCTTAGGAAACAGCAAGTTGGTGGTTGATCACGCTCATGTTGGATGTCGTGGAAGCGTTAACAAACTCGGATACAGCAGCTATGGAGTCGATTAGATTAAATAGTATTGGTATGCTTTGTTTTGCGACATTTCAGTTTATGATGTTTTGATGTAGCTCTGAGTAAGTAGCGCTGAGTGAGTAGTGAGATGAGATTTATTAGAACAAAACAAGAAAAGACAGTCACCAGTAAAGAGCTAAAAACAATGTAAGCATAGTAACGGTTAATTTTTTCATAGACTATCAAAGAATCAAATAGTTTACTTATCTGGTCACAATGGGGACAGAATCAGCATACTACTAGAGCATACTACACGAGAGTAACAGCAGACTATAAGGCAAGAGAGACCGACGATGAAAGATATAGGTTGATGGAGCATACTACACGAGAGTAACAGCAGACTATAAGGCAAGAGAGACCGACGATGAAAGATATAGGTTGATGGAGCATACTACACGAGAGTAACAGCAGACTATAAGGCAAGAGAGACTGACGATGAAAGATATAGGTTGATGGAGTAAAAGAGACACTACATAAAGCCTTATGACAATAACACTAGCTCTTCTTTACGATATACATTTTCATCATGAAACCGTCTTGGTAGACTTTTGAAAGGTTTACTTTCATTAGTTTCAGGAAGTAATACATACTATAGCTAGTTTTACAGTGGGCTAAAGAAAAACTACGTAATTTCATGATTTTCTCGTTTACCGTCGCACTCTTAGTGAGCTCGCGCTAAAAAAAAAAAAAAGACATCAGTCAAGGATGTTTGGTCAAATTAGTCTTGAGTTATTGTGTCATATAGTTGGTTTATAAAAGCTAACATAGACATCAATTTCACAATGAATTTTAGACGCAGATTTATAACTATGCAGAAGGTTGTCGTTTTCCTGTACCAGCACTTCCGCAGGGAATCTAAGATCGGTCATTTATATTGTGATATTTCTGACCCAGAGAAACGAGCACAAATAGCGCTTGGTCTGGATAGAGCATCAATAAACCGTTGAATTAGGCAGTAAAAAGTATTTAAAAAAAAGTAAAGATCGCTTCACACGCCCTTAGGCGCATCGGGCATAGGGGAAGAGCACCCACATTTTTACAGACCAATCGGCACTCGGTGGGTAATGTGGTCAGCATTACGCCGGCCGTCTTTACTTTCCCCAGGACAGCCCATCCTGGTACCCATTTGAGGCTGGGTCGACCTGCGACGTCCCATACCACGATAAACATCCACGCAGCCCACGTAGGTTTCGATCGCGGTACGTTGGATTACGAGTCAGACTCGCAACGCCTTAGCCACGGAAGCCTGAATTAGGCAGTACTCAGAGTAAACTCATGTCAAGCTAGGAAGGAAAAGGAAAGTTGACGACTTTGATGTAAATGTCATTAGACGTGAGATCTTAAAAATGTTAGATACCAATCAACTTGTTACTCTCTGAGAACTAGTTAACATTGAAATCACAATGCAGTATTGATATTTAAAAAAACAGTAGTCTGTGGAAAATTAAAAGAACCACCGGTTTCACTTTCATGAAAACTGTAGGTAGAAGGAAAATTATTTGTGAAAGCCACATTTGATTCATTTGATTACTGGTCGAGGCAAATACCTGAGGCAGATATGTGAGCGACGGACATTGGACGAATCCTGGGTAATGCTCACCATACCTATGCTAAATAATGGCAATCAATAAACGGTGAAGAAAAAAGAAACATTCCAAGCAGCAAAGGCCAACGCATTTATACTCACTTATGCAGGAAGCCGTGAAAACGGCCATATCCACGATGCTGGACTTATTTTCCGATTAAAAAGTACCGATGGTAGGGATTACCACACTGAATTGAATGGACACGTGTTCAGGCACTTGATGAAAAATGATCCTCTTCCAATTCTGGAGAGACCATCATGCCTAGTAATGGATAATTCCGACTATCTAAATGCTGTATCAGAGAAAGACAAAGTACCAACGACATCAAATACCAAAAAATTAAATTAGGACCTGCTTTGCTCAGGAAAAAGTCAACATTGACGACACATATTTAAAGGCAGAGTTTTTGCAGCTTGTGAGGAAAACAAATAAGACAAAGGTATATCACAAAAACATTATTGCATACGGCCACACATCTCTGCGACTCCCTGGGTACCATTCACACCTCAACCCGATAGAGCTTGTTTGGGCTTTAGTCAAAAGACAAGTTGCCTAAAAAAAAACATTCAAAATGTGTGACGTTGAAATTCTGACACGTGAATCCTTCTCAACAATTAGACATTGATTTCTGTGGGGGGGGGGGGGGGGGGTGTTCAACGTGTACTTCGAGAGAAATACGAGTACTGGCACCGAGATGGATTCCAATTTGTTTCAGCCAGTAACAATTATCAACCATTTGGGATGGTCAGATTCTGAATGATTAAAACCATTTTTCCGATGAGTGGTTCAATATCATCAACCCGTCAGGTACATCTACAGTTGCCACACATACATCTCCATATCTAAGTGTGTCAACCATAATACAGTTTGATACAGAAGAGAAAATAGATGAGCATGGCCTGGGTTTGACCAGAGGGCCTGACCGGCACGCTACACTCAGAAGAATGGCTAGATGGACATAAAATCAGACCCTGTACCATTAGTATTGGAACTCTGTGCTGGCTGCTGAAGATGGGGCGGAGCGCATATGGGAATGCCTAGTGCTGTGAGGTCTTTCTTGACTCAGCTCAACTCAGTGAAACATAAATGAAAACAAATAAATTTACTTCACCTATCAATGTATTATGAAAACACGCCTCTGACAAAATATAGAACCGGAAATTCAGTTTTTTACTGTAAAATCTAAAAGTTCATTTAACTAATTAACAATGGCTCGAAAAGATCTAAAGAACTTGCTGGTATTCCGCATCCTGAGCATCTACAGATTAAAGAATTAAAAAAAAAAAATTTTCGCCAAACAAATTGTTGCGATCTAACAGGCAGTTTTCGAGAGAATAGATTGCAAGTGTGTTTGTGAGATGTTGAACGTACTATAGTACTGAGTGTTATTAACCGTGTAGGCATGTCGTTACATCATCCAGCTGTATCTTTTATTAAGCACGTAGATGTCGCAGTCAACTCCTTCATTGTGTTCTAAATAGTGACATACTTTTTCTACATGGAAATATATAAAACCGAACGAAAAGTATATAAGCAAGCTTCACAATATAACAAATACAAACAAAAACGTGAACGTTCCGGCTATTGAGCCTTCATCGGCACATACAAATGAAACAATACTACACACAAACACAAAATCACTTAGTTGGTATTTCGAAGCAGCCGGGTCGGTCTACATGGGAACTACTCCGATTCCTCTGGCCTCTTTTAACAGTGTTCATCGCATATTTTCTCTTGGAAGTGCTTGCTTCCCCAGCTCATTTGTTTCATATTTCCGTGCATATTTTGTTATTCACATTTGGATTAGTCTCAGAATGTACCCAGTATGTCGCCATCGTCTGAAGACTCTTGAAACCCGGCGTTGTCTAGTTATTTCACTTACTTTTCGCCTTTGTTGATTTCATCGCATCTATTGTTCGTCATTTGCGTCAATAGCCTTTAGTCGATTGCCTTGGAAAAATTATTAGAGATGACTCTTAATCCTTCGAACAGGTCTATCACTATGGTCTACGGAGAATGACGCTGCCAGGAGCTACCAGTGGATCTAGCCGACGTTCACACTCAGAGGACAGATTAGACGGATATACAATCAGACGGTTACTGGTACTATAGGAATTAGAACTCATCGCTTGCTGAAGATGGGGACTGGGCACTGATGGAAGTGTCCTGAGTGCTGTGATTGCGATTATTAATTTAACATTCAAAAGTGTATCACTATATAAAAATAATATAAATAATTGCTTAATATTTACAAATCTTCAACAAGAAGTAAATGCAATATTCTTACTAATAAGAATTTGCCAGACTTTGTCCAAAATGATCTACATCTAGATTTACCCAAACTTGCATTTGTACCATTACCAGTATGTGTGTGTGTGTGTGTGTGTGTGTGTGTGTGTGTGTGTTTGTTTGTCAGTATGTGCCTTCGTGAGTACTTTTTTTAAGGGGAAAATGGAGTCTATTATGACACCAAGAAAACATGAGAAGATGAGATGTAGGTGGGGGGGGGGGCAAGAAAGAAGATGCCGGACAGTATAGCATCGTGGAATGGGAAAATGTCGATATCTGAAATGGTCGACAGTGAACGAGACAGAAGGCTGGAGACAGATGTGATTGCTAACATGCACTATCAGAAGTACACGAATACTTCGGCTAACAAAGATAGCACCATAATTATTTTGGGGAAAGGAGATGAGATGACCTGTGACAGTTGTCTTTAACAGAGGGTTCTTTTTACGAAGTCTGGCCCAACTACACAGTGGTTCTCATGTCATTAATGCTTGCCCAGGCTAGTCTACGTTACAGGGTGTCACGTTGTATTGTCTTCTTCCGAAAGCTTTCTGCGTTGTGTATTACCCGTTGTTGTGAGCAGTGACCAGCTTGTGCATTAACTCGTGAGCAGCGGCCAGCGAGCTTGGGTATATCATAGCTGTCTCGGACTTGAAGTAAGACATACATTTTCTTAAGCTGTCAACGTCGCGGCTCCGGTCAGCACAGCATAAGGTCTTTTTTGGACCCACCACAAAATGGTAACAGTTCTAAAACCACACATCGTACACTGCCATCTCTCGTGGGACGTAGGCTGAGGCTGTGGGGTGGGGTTGGTGTGTTGGGGTTAGGGCCAATTCTAGATCTTGGCTAGTTCGCCGGTGATACCACCAGACACAATACAACTTGACACCCCTGTAACGTAGACTAACCTGTTCAAGCATGAATGAAAAATAAACTAGTGTGCAACTGGGCCGGACTTAGAACACATTGTAGAAGTCGTCAACGTGGTCAACATAGACTTTATTAGTTACACATATCCAACACACTAAAACAAAATCCTACCTGCCAGTCCCTACAAATCAAACCGTCACTATCCATTCATTTCTCGCTCACCTCCTTTCGCCGGTTCAGCACCGGTG